TTTATCCCATAATATTTATGAAGTTTCTGTTATATGTAGGCACTGTTCCGTGTACTAGAAAGAAAACTAATGAGCATGTTTCCTCGGTATCCATCTTTATTTTTGACATACCACTCAGCTTCTAAGAGCCTTTTCAAGCATTTCCATCTATAGAGTCTCCCAGTGGACAAGTAGGCATTGAACTAATTTAGTGCATCTTTGGACTCACTAACTGCTCTGTTTTGCGTCCTTCCTGTTTGATGAGCTCACAAGCAACACCTTTGTTTTTTGACTTCCTTTGAGTCTTGCACAGTGTACATCAGACACTAAATATTTGAATCGATGAATGAAATACCTGTCACAAAGTGCCAGAAGACAACCTAGAACACCCTCAAAGGCTTTCTGGGGCATCGTTCTCATGCAGTTCTTTGCACATTTGGCTGCTTGCCTTCTAGCCTCAACAAACTATAAGCAAACGATTGGTACTGGGGAATGGTTTTACGTGAAAACATTCTCAGTCATTTGGACCTGGAAAATTTGAAAGTACATTACCATCTTAGCAATGTTTTCAAAATGTTGACTAGATTCCCTAAGAAATCAAGTGATATTTTTATTCTTTAAGGTAGAGAATTATGTAATAGTAACACAAAAAAAATGGTAAGAATTGGTTATCTAGAAAAATCACTTGTGTAGCTGTGTAAAACTGTGCAGTGCTCTCTATCAGAGAGAGGAGACCCAGCAAAACCCCCATTGGATCTGTAGTATTGTTAAGCTCATATTATTGGAAAGATGCTTTGTTTTCGTTACTCCAGAGTTTAAAACTTGGAGTCAGCAGCTTTATTTTAATGGTTCCAGAGGTCCTCAAATAAACCTATGATATAATTAAAAGATAGCTCTAGTTAAGGGAAGAAACATGCAGTATTTCAGTCAGGCCCCGAACTTCCCTAACAAACCTTTCAAGATACAATGAAAAGTGTTTTTTATGCAACACTTTCATTCCCTCACCTGTTGTGTGAATCTTTAAGAAAAAACTCTTGAATTAAAACTTTCTGAAATGGTCTGTTTCTTAATTTCTTAAGAGCTATAATTTTTATAAACACATTTCAGTGTTTCACATTTACACTATTGTTTTGTAATTGCTTAAATTGAATTAGATTTCTCAAAAGCTACTTAGAAAAAAATTTCAGCAAGGCTTTCCTATTGTGTTTTTCAGAAGAAAGCTGGGTTTTACAATATTATTCACATTTTGTAAACAGCTTCAATGAACCTGCACATAAAAGGTTAAATGTTTGCAGGCCATTCTTTTTTTGCTTCGAAGATCAGAGACAAATTACTATTTTTATTTTACATTCCCTTGATGAGGATAATGATAAACATCTGTCACTTCAGTGCCTTACAAAGAATCCTATTGCAATCCTATAATTTAAACAAAGAAAAAATATAGTCATACACAGCATACATTCCGAAAAGAATGATGGAGAATTTGGTTAGAGTTGAGATGAGAGAAAAGTGAGCTTATGCTCTCTACAATTACTCAGTTAAAAGAAAACTTTCACCTACGTACACTTTCACATTTATCTTGCTCATCTTCGATGTTATTGTTCGGCAAAAAATTAGAAATCAAATCTGTACCGAATCATGTGATTCCCTCTCATGTCCACTTTATTATCAGAATAAGTGTATTTCCAAAGGCTTTTAAACTATTTTGCTGAGTATTTTGGAATATTTCAATTTTTTTTTCTTTTTTACATTGAGAATTAAACTAGTATTCTTTCTTCAGTCTGAAACTTTGCTTGCTAACTGCTTCTGATCTCAAAAAGCAAGTCAGGCCCTTTTGAACATTTTGTTATGCAGAAAAGTAAAGCAAGACTGAATGTTAACAATAGTGTGAAGTGAGGAAAGTCAGTGTTTCCATATGAGAATCTGAATGGTGATATAGTTTTTCTGGTGTTTCATATCCTAAAGGTTTATTTAATACATGCAGTTTATTCTGGTTTTCTATTCTGATATAATTTACTTCCTACAAATAGCAGTACTTCAATGATTTATTTCTCATCAAATTTTTCAGATTCATTATTTTATAGATAAAACTGATTTGACTTCTTTTGGGTGTTTCATACCTATTTTACCACTAAAAAAGAAAAAGAAATTTAATTTAAAATTATATTAATTTTACTCATGTTGAACAAATTTTAGTTCTCAGAGCTTCAGCATGCTCTTCTATAGATTAATGATAGCAAGGTTCCCTATGGTGATAGTGTAAAGCTATTAGCATCATACCTGAAATACAATAAGTGCTCAGAAAATGTTCCTGGGTTAGGGAGGAGGTTGATGCTGAAGTGCTGTCACTTTTTAATGCTGAATATATTAACAAAGTCTAAGAGAGGCTAACTGAATTACACTGTCATCACTATGGAAATTTGTAAATTTTCAACTTTGACAATTCAACTGTGTTCTCATGCCTATGTATAATTTCATAATCATTTTATCATTCTCATTGTTATCAAGTAGTAGTGAACCCTAATCTTTCAACTTGGGATTTCTCTATTCCTGTAATAAGTAGGCATTCCTACTTTGGTAAACCCAATTTTAGTTTTCTTTCCACTCTTTGTTTTTTAAATTTAATTAATTAATTAATTTGCTACTGGGGATCAAACTTATGACCTCACACTTGTAGGCAGGTGCTGTGCCACTGAGCTAAATGCCTGGCCCAATTTTTTCCACTCTTATACACAACAGGGTCTGTGCTAGTTGCTGAGAAATGAGAGATAAATAAGATACAGTCTAGTTTAGGGAAAGCATAGAATTAAGATGGGTGTTAAAAAGTAAAAGGAAGTGCAGAAGACGGAGTGGTGGCAGATCTAAGGGCCCCCAGGGGTTTATCTAAAAGAGGTGGCATGGAGCAGGCTTACAAGATGAGCTATCTTCATTGATGGGCAGAGTAGTGGCCTGGGAGGGATATAAGCAAGGAGTTGCTTGTAAGAAAAGATAATAAAGGTACAGAATATAAATATGCAGTTTGTTCTTTCTTAGAGGTTTGGATTGGAAATGATTTATCTACATATTTTCCAGCTTAAGTGTTCCTAATGTGTTTTGAGAGTCAAGCAGCTCTCCATTCGTCCATGAATATTCTGTAAAGAAAGAAACTAACATTTGTTGAGGTCTTCTGCTATGTCATTTCATATACATCATCTCATTTAGCTGCCACAAGTTTTCCAGATAAGCATATTTCCATTTTAAAGAAATGCAGAACAAGTCTCAGTCATACTGAACCTGAAAGTATGAATTTGAACCTTAAAATTTGATTTTCAGATCCAATACCCTTAAAACAACATTGCAGTTGCCACTGCCTGTCTAGGGACTGGTTAGGGCTAGGGCTATGGTTTGGGTTATGGTTAGGATTAGGGTTAGCCTTAGACTTTATTGAAAAATAGTATGTATTTTTGGGCTTGGCATGGTTTTTATACCTTAGGGGGGGAAAAGTTTGGGAACATGTTTGGATTTTTTTTCATGGCTGACTTTGCCTCTTTCATTTTACCATTTCGTGGCCCTGGCTTTTGCTTGCTTTTTGCAGGTCATATTGCATGTGTGTCACAAACTAATAGCAAAAGGAAAGAATGATAGAAGAATTGCTTTACCCATGAAAGACCCCTTTTAAAGGAATTAAATAAGGAAACACAACTGTCACTTGAAATTTTCCAATCTTCCTTCTACTTTGCTGTTGTAACATGATGAGGCCTCAGATATGTCCTAATACTGTTAACCTTGCAGCTTTGTGTCATGCTGTCAGGGCTGAAATATGACAGTTAATTTTTACAGTGAGTACATATTGTTAAACATTAGTTATTTCTGGAAGAAATCTATAGAAATTGTGTAAATTCTATCTTTGTTAGTTTTTATTTTGCGGCTTATGAATATAGGCCATTTGCACATGCATATTGGTTCAGAGGAAAGACTCGTCATTTATAGACTCAGTGAGGCTTTTGAGCGTAGTGTTTGCCTACAACTGGCCCGATGATTGAAAACCTGGAAGATTAAAGCATATACGTTTCCAAAGAAAGGTACTTCATGTCCACATTGGAAACAATAAGTTATTTCTCCTTGTTACATTCATAATTAAGCCTATCTAAATACTAAAAGTTAGCCAAACCACTATCTGTATAATGTTTGAGGCCTTAGATTTTTCAACCTGACTTTAAACGGAGACCATTTGTTCTAAATTGATTTCAATGCCGAGCCAATAGTTCAGCCCTTAATGATGAAGATGCCATTCCAGCCTGGCCTCTGGTGGATAAGCCAAAATTAATTAATTCAAGTCCTGTGATACAGAAAACAGATGTGCGTCCCATGTATTGCACAAATAAATTCTGCGTGTATAGATGTGCTCTGTTTTAGTCAAAGAATAACAAGTTGGTAAGTTTTTCACAATGGAGCCAGCCTTTAGTAGTGATGATAGAAGCATGAATTTACATAACAAATTCCAGCAAATGCATGGGAGGCTGACTTATCTTCTAGATCTCTTATTTTGGCTCCCGGCTAGTCCTCAGAGATTTAGTTTGAATCAGGGCTGTTCCAATCTACAGCAGACCTAGAAGTGCCAGAATAACATCAAGGTTATTTCTAATCTATGGAATCCCTGGAGACTCCTCCCAGAGGTTTACATCTGTATTGTATGTATGGATTGCTTCTTTGGCCAGCTTGCAAATGGCTTAAGATTAGATTGTTCCCCAGAGGTGCAGTTGTTAGGTACACTGTTGTTTGGTTACTCATTTCAGCATTCATTCAGACATGGAATACTTCCCTTTGTTAGAACATGGCAGGCTAAAAAGAAGAACAATAACTGCTGCATCTTGATCTCTTTTCAGAATTAATTGATGGGAGATAAGCTAAAATTTCAATCATATCACGGTGTAAACTTAAAGTATGCTAAGCAAAAGTTGATTGTTTGATAATGTCTACTGTGTTATTACTCTGAGCAAATATGAGATAATTCATGCTTTATTTTGTTTCCTTTCTGTTAGACTGAAAATGATGAAAACGGCCAAACAGAAAACTTTTCCATGGACCCACAATTGGAGAGGCAAGTGGAGACAATTCGCAACCTTGTGGACTCCTACATGTCTATTATCAACAAATGCATACGAGATTTAATTCCCAAAACGATAATGCACCTTATGATCAATAATGTAAGTGATTACAAACTATCTCCTTTAACATTCAACCCATCTGAGTGTAGACACTGAGCACATTTGCTTGAGTGTCTTTGTGATGACTGCATAACTAAAATACCTGGGTTCATAATTTTTCTTTAAAGAGGGAAAAAAAATAAAACAAAACAAAACTACAAGAAAAACAAGAAACAAAAGAGACAAACAACAATAACAAAAAACCCAAAACGATGACAATATAGGCCTTCAAAACAAGGTGATAAGAACTTAACAAAAGTTGTTATTTTGTATAGTTAATTTCAAAAGAGTTACTCAGATTACCAGATATACACATGTAAAATTGATCTAATCCTGTGAATGTTAACATCATACCACAGTGATATATGTACACTCATGTTTATAGCAGCACAATTTCTAATAGCCAGATCTTGGAAACACCCAATGCCCTTCAACTAAGGAATGGAGAAAAAAGACTGAGTTCATAATTTTTCCTTTACGAGTGGTAAGTGATCAATGAAAGAGAATTTAGTAGAGAAAGCAAGACTTCTAGCTAACGAGCTGAGGTGCTCTTCTCTAGAAGGCTGAGACTTTACAACAATAATGCAGAATAAAACTACTATAATTCATGGTCATGATGTAAGAAAATTCAAACCCAACAATGAAATCAGATGTGCTGACTCCTAGACCTTGAGGTTAAAGACCAAAGATACTTTATCCTGCACACACATATATACACTATTAATATGAACTTCATCTTGTATAAGCTTTGAAGTGCTATTTTAACTTTAAAAAGGGCATCTTTCCTTCTCTCCTTGTCTATAAAGTCAGTTTTGCTTAAAGGATGATGTAACCACAAATCTCAAAATATCCTGATGTACTAGCAATAAATGGAATTATATTATCCAGAATCTTTCTTTTCAGTTATCTGTAGGCCTGTGGATGTGGTACTTATTTAAGCAGTCTGGTTTGGTTCTTTTGGTAGCACTACAAGTTATTACAGAAATTATCTTTTAAATAAGAAGGCTATTCTGAGGTGTTTTATGATATGCTCTTCTGAATCATCACAAGGAAAATATCTTAATTTTTCCCAGTTATTACCTAAGAGCATTATTTTACTTAAGTCACCAATGTATTATGAACATTGACTGTAAGAAATCAGAATCTGACGGTAAAATAGTGACAGTCTCAAACTAGAATTCAGAAGAAACCTGATTCTTAACCTAGGTGTATTACAGACTCTGTAGGAAGTGTGTTGGACTTGGCAATTTGTTTCAGAAGACAATATATATGACAGTTACTAGGAGAAATATAAGCACAAGAAATCAATATTGTTGTCTATCCTTTAGCCATACATCGATTGATTTCAAAATTTCAAATTTAAATGTGGCAGTCCATTTATTGTCCATGATCTCTATATTTCTTGACTCTAAGAAGCCCCCAAAATGTGGACAACCTTGTTTTTTATTTATTTTTTATGGGGGAGGAGTACCAGGAATCAAACTCAGGACCTGAGACTTGCCAGGCAGACAATGTGCCATTAAGCTATATCCTCGACCCTGAACCTTCATTTTTAAATACCTTTCCCCTCCTCTTCCCTCTCCCCATCTCTATCAAGTTTCCTTTAACTATTTTCGTATACATTTCATGTATTTGAGCAAGATTAACAGAATGCTTTGAAGTCTAAGTGCAGGTAAGCAATAAATTGGAAATGTAAGAACTATGAATTGTATTGTTTTACTGGATCAGTGGCCTGTTGTGTGGCCTGAAGCAAATCGTTTAACCCTTCTGAGCTGAAGTCGTCTCTACAATTTTAGTCAAAACACCGAGGTATCCCTGAGAACTGTCAGGAGAATATAGTAAGTGTGGCTCTGAGCCATTTAGAAAAATCTAAAGTACTAAACAAATAGTCTGCGTATTTTTTAAATTACCCTCTTAACTTTGCTTAAATGAATTCAGGTTGTTTTGCTGTGGTATATCCAGGCATTTGCTTATTTAAACGTCTCCCTGATTAAGGATCATTTATCTTTTCACTGTTTTACCAAGAGTCATTAGTACTGCCATCGGTTCAAACGCTCCTTTGCCCCCGCTATATTAAATCATCAGCACAGGAAATAGCACTTCCTGTCTATAGCTGTTTGGAGTAGGCTGACACAAATTAGTTAAAAGGGGGAAAAATCCTATTGTAAATCTATCCTACTTTCACCTTCTCAAGAAAAACACACACCACATACCCATACATGCAAAGAAACATAGGCGCAATTTCCCTAACTCCTCACTGCTGTGCTGCTCACTTTAATGAAATGGCTAAACCCCCACCTCCAGACAGTGTCCCTGGCAGTCAGGCTCTGCTAGTTGTCTTGAGAGAGACCTCACAGAAGAGTCATGAGAACAGAGACTTCAATTAAGATCTGGTCGCCAAGGTCAAACCTTGAAACCGAGATTAATAGGAATGGGGAGGAGGTAAAAGTGCCGTGTGATGCTTGAATTCTTATGAAATTATAGTTACCTCTGTTTGAATTGTAAATTTTTGTTTCTACCAGACATTTGTTTTACATTTCTAGAATAAATGCTTGAGTATTATGTTTTTCACTATACATGTATAATTTTTATATTTAACATACATTACATACTTTAAGTTATGTGTGTAATTTCTGTGTCTGTGAAACTATGTCTCTTTTAAAAAATGTTCTCATAGTTGCACAACTCACAACTTTTCACTGGACTGAACACCAACTTTTTCTTCTTTCCACACGTGCAAACAAGGAAATAAATAGCAAACGCCCAGCACTGCGCCATGCAGATGTGCCGGTGTTTTTATTTGACTTAAGGTGAAGATATCCTCAACTAGAAAACTGATAGCTTGACTCTTAACTCTGAATTCCACCCACCAAACTGAGCTGCTTCTATAAATGGCTTTTGTATTCCTCCAGAACCAATAAATACCCAAAATGGGGTTCTCTATTTCTTTCTGCTCAACCAGAAACAGGCTACGGCCTTTCCTCTTTGAAATGGGGCAGGCTGCCCTGCCTTCTGCAAAGGAATATGCTTCAGCCAACTTTCATAAAGTTCAGAATTTGTTGGGCAGTTTCCTTTGAAAGTTTACATTAAGGGCTCTGCCACTCAGGTCTCCATATGGAATTGTTTAAGAAGTTGAAAGCCCAGCAATAAATGCCTTGCCTCAGACATACTGTAAGCCTTTGTCTACTGAAACGCAGCAGCTGTTTCATTACTTAAACATACCAGGTAACAGCAGCACAAAGAAACCCCATGTTTATGAGAGGCCATCGTTATGGACAAGCTACGGCTAAAGAAGCAGGGCTTTGCTCACGACCTTCACGCTAGCGCCCAGAAAGCACTCCACGCAAGCCCATTTTGAGGGCCTTGCCTCTGCAGCTTGCCCTATCAGAAGCTCCTTACCAGAAGAGGTGGCGAAGTGGCAGATAATTCCCTTAGAATCCCTCTGACAACCACCCCACTGGATACCCATTGATTCCCCAGGTTATAAATGAAGACACTGGGGCTCCAAGAGGTTAAATGACTTGCCCAAGCCCACACAGCTGGGGGTGGCAGAGTCTAGACTGAGACTCAGGTCTGCTCACTTTCTGACTGATGCTATCTGCATGGCCGTCTGCATGTCAACACCATATAAAGCGAACACAGGGTTGCAACATTAAGTTCAGTCTTTGCAGACTGGAGCTCCCCCTCCCCCCGCCCCGCCGCCATGTCCTCCACAGGCTGTAGCCCCAGTTACCTTCCCAGAGGGTTAATTTTACTTGAAGATCTAATTAGGGTTTGTTTGACTATGAAAACAATGTTTTAAATCTGAACGCATTGTGTCTCCTATTCAAAGAAACCCAAAGAATACAGAATCAAATGTAAAAGCCTTTATGGATTCTTTTTAAAAACCAGATATAAAACCTGGAGGCATTTCACACTCAGAATGCCGGCAAGCAGCAGCTGGACCCCTGGAGGTCCACATTCCCTCTCCTGGGCTATTGACTCTTGGGTGGAAAATTGGTAACAGGTGCCCTAGCTTCAAAACTTACTGTATAGCTTTAACGTGTATGAAGTAAAGTGTTATTTTAAGTGGTCATTATTTGAGTGGAAAATATATCTTAAATACCAGATCTTTAGACTATTGATCTGTTTCCACAGCTCAAAACTTCAGCTCTCTGCTTAAGAGAAAGTTTACAACCCTAGGCCCCTCAATCCCCGCTCCTGCCTCCACCATGTCAAAGGTCCCCTAATTGATTTCTTAACCCATGGCTAGTTCTACCAGTTTATGAACTTTGGAATCACAGAGTATGTGTCTTTTTGTGTCTTAATTTCTTTTGCCCAACATTATATTTGTAAGTGGAGGTTACTTGTGAAGAAGGAAAACTTGACTAGGTCATTAGCAGAACCAAATTCCTAGGGAAAAGATAGAAGCCTTAAGTAGATCTACGAAAATTGTGAGATGTAAAATTCCAACCAGGACCCTGTCCCTAAAACTAACTAATAAAATTGAACTTCGGAGTGCAAGTGTCTCTGTGTCGTGTGAAGGAGAGAAATCACGGTGTTCCATAAAGCAACTCTGTCTAGAACTTGAGAGATTTTAAGGAAATGGTCTCCCTGGCAACTGAGCTATACAAAAACCCTCAAAATGTCTCTTCTGTTGGTGAAGTCATTAAAATGATCTCAGTCATAACAAAGAAGGTCTAAAATCCAAACATATTATAGGTTGCTAGAGAAGGGTTAAAGCAAGGAAGAGGAAAACATGTGGAACATTTTTAATGACTTCACATTCCTTTACACTGAGCAGTGTGGTATGGTGTAGCCGTGCCTGTTTATCTAGCCTGGAGAGTTTGAGCTGGAACAGGGTTTCATATGTGAGAATTTTTGCAAAGCCTACAAAGATGTAGAGGTTATAAGGTGTTATAATTAAAAGCATGAAGATTGTTTCGAATCCCGTGTCCAAGTATAATGCATTTGTTATGTTCTATGAAGTATTTTCTAAATGCTATCACCTACATGGGAGCCTTTTGACCTCTTACTGTCTTGCAGAATCCCTGACTTAAGGACTTATAACACTGTCTCTGAAGTATCTGGAAACCTCCCCCCCCATACCCCACCTCACCTTATTCCAAACTCCAGCCACATCATCATAGGCTGTCAAAAGGAGAAAGTCTTTCTTAAATTTTGCTTAAATGCAAAATAAAGTGTAAACCTATGCTCTATGTTTAACTACATCACTTAATAGCTGTACTATTGCAATAGCTTTCTATTGTTCTTCTTCTACATACCTATACTGATTCAAGTCTACACAAAGAAAAGCAATGTTTATTTATTCAGCACTAACTGGCGGCAAGGTACCTTATACACATTCACAGCTCTCATAATGCCTATGGTATCCCTGTTTTACAGCTGAAGAACCTGAGTCTCAAAGGTAAGTAGCACTGCTAGGGTGCAAATACAGGTCTGTCTCATTATGAAGCCTGTGTTCTTTGTCCATGTGAGGGGTGGTTCTTTTCCTCATTATTAACACCATATTACTTCAGATTATGCCAAAAGATTTTGGGTAGTAGGCAAGTTTTAGTGCATAACACTTGGATGTGGAAGAGTCAGGGCAAGTCTTTGATCAAAATGCTGAAATAGCCCTTTACTGCTTTATTCCATGGTTCGACAGTTGATTCTCATTTCAGATCTGCTTTAAATCTATTCTTGGAAGAATCTTATTTTAAATTGTATTTAATAGACCTTAAGCTTTACTCCAGCAAGATGTAAAGCTCCAAAGAACTAACTTAACTGTTGGTCAATGCCAGGAAAATTGTCTGGTTTTGAGTATTAACTTGTAATACATTTCCAAACACATGCACACATCCAGCAGTGGGAGGTTTGTGTGAATGTCCATGCCTCCTTGGGCACCTGCAAGTGTATTTAGAAGTGAGTATATCTTCAGTGAGGGTAATAGCATATTCCTAAAGCCAAACTGACTGCCATTCCTCTAAATCTAGCTTTCTTTTGTATCATTTGATTCTCTATTCTTCATTCAACCAAATGTCAGTAATTGTGTCCTCTTTGCTCCTTGCTTTCTTGCCCTTCATGAACAAATATCACCCAGTCCAGTTGGTTTTTCCTTTATAATGTCATTTACGTGTACACATCTTTTTTATTCCACTGCGTCACTGCTAAATTCCATTGTCTACAGTAGCCTCCTAACGAACCTTTATACTACACTTGCTAATTCTTTTCAATCCCATCCAGATTAATTCCTCTAAAAATTTCTTATTGTTTCATTTACATGCTTAAAAACTTCTCACCACTTCCCATGCCAAGTATATACAGTTCAAAACTTCCTTAGCACTCAAGACCTCTACATTTTGCCAAATTGACTTAGCATAACTATCAGAAACTTTCTACCCCACCAGAGAGTTCCCTGAATATGCACTGTGTATTAGGTTGCTGCCACATATGAGTCACTGTTGGCTCAGCAAATACAAAAAGCATGCAGGAACACTTTTTATGTTGCCACTGTGATGCTATGAAGTTAGCCGGTCTTTTAATTAGAATTATTTACATGTTTTGATGTCTTTAAAAAACAATGAAATTGTGTAACCATTTCTGAGTTACAAATTTAACTATGACACAGAAGTCTTGAGCATCTGACAGGTCTCTATCACCTATCTGTCCTTAAAGTAATTAAGTACACTGGCTTTCAACCTTTTTTTTTTAAACTATTAAGTGACTGTAGATAACATTTAGCTGTCTCATGTTGCAGTGTATTATATCTTTCATTTTTTCTGATAAGCTTTTTTGGTAAATCAACCTGCAAGATATATATGAGAGGCAGAGAGAGATTCTATATTTAATAAATATCTATTTATGGATGCTACTTCTACTTTTGAGAGAACTTAAAATTCAAAATCTTACAGTTTTCCAGTGATTTTCATAAACGCCATCTGAAGCATGAGAATGCTCAGGAATGCAAAATGTGTGGTACTACACAGGGATTTTTTTTTTTTTTGGTCACCATCTTCTACTGAAAATTTTCCTCTCACATCATGATTCCTTCCTTCCTTTCTCCTCTAGTCCAGGTAATCTTAGGCCACTCTATGGGGACATTTGATAGGCCCTGTTTTGGAGGTGGCAGGGTTTAGTTTTTCTTCCACTCATCTTTGTTGCCCTTCTATGTTGACAGACAGAAGACAGAGGGAAAACCCCTACTCACACCAGCGTTAGAGAGAAGCTAATGATTAAAATAAGAGCACGCAGATGCTTGGTGCTTTGTTTCCTCCAGGGGGGACAACGCACACTTTGTTTATAGGCTGTAGATGCCACAGCCATGTTTCCATCCTTCAGTGACTCACCAGTCCCCATTTGTATTTTTCTGTGGTGATGTGACAGGTTAAAGACTTCATAAATTCAGAACTCCTAGCCCAGTTATATTCTTCAGAGGACCAAAACACTCTGATGGAGGAATCTGCTGAGCAGGCTCAGCGCCGAGACGAGATGCTTCGAATGTACCAAGCCTTGAAAGAAGCCCTAGTGATCATTGGTGACATCAACACGGCCACTGTGTCCACCCCAGCACCACCTCCGGTAGATGACTCCTGGATCCAGCACTCTCGAAGGTAGGGACATGGTCCCACAGCACCTTGAGGGTCCTGTATGTGCTGGTACCCTTCTCTGCAAATGTTTTCCCAAACCATTGTGAACCTAAAGTGGGAAAAGGGAGGGGGGGATCTATTCAAGTTTAAGAGTTAGAGGACTGAGCAGGGCAGATTATACTAACTCTTTTCAAAAATAAGCACAGTGCATCTGCTTCCAATGGAATCATATACAGCCATTAAAATGAAATTGCCAGCTCAGTATATTGCCAAATGAAGGTTAATTAACCTGAAGTTCTATAAAATGGGAGTTGTAGAACATTATGTTGTATTCTGCAATGTACAAAACACTAACTTATGCATAGATGGAAGGTGTACACTTGTTCAGGTGTCAAGTGTAATTAAAAGGAGCACTCCAGAAACTACTGCTGGTTGGCTCCTCAGAGTAGAGGAAGAAGAGGAGGGAAACTTTCTTTCACCATTCACCCTTTCAGACTTTTTGCTGTCATAAAATGTGTCTGAATTACACAGCCAACAATGTTTTCAAAAAATGGTCTGGAAATGATATAACTTTTTTGAAGGTTAATTCAGAGAGAAACTGGGGTGGGCAAATGATGAACTGTCTTTTTCTTCAGGTCACCTCCTCCAAGCCCCACAACCCAGAGGAGGCCTACGCTCAGCACTCCGCTCACGAGACCCACGTCAGGCCGAGGACCAGCTCCTGCCATTCCCTCTCCAGGCCCCCACTCGGGGGCTCCCCCAGTCCCATTTCGTCCTGGACCCTTACCTCCTTTTCCCAACAGCAGCGACTCCTTCGGAGCACCTCCACAGGTCCCCTCTAGGCCCACAAGGGCCCCACCCAGCGTTCCAAGGTAAGGAGCAGGCATGGGTAAGGAGGCTCCTTGGCTCTCTTCTCATGGTGTGACAGACAAAATGTATTGGAAAAAGAAAATCACAAACATCTGACCATACGCATTTCCAGTTTTCACCCTGGTAGGGGGTGTGCAGAAAAATTGCTGAGTTTATTAGATAATGTAAGACCCAATATGTGGTCATCAAAGCCTCTTGTGGCACAAATGAAATGAGATTAAAAAAAAAAAAACTGGATCCCAGTGAATGACATTTTGGCAGCTGCTAGCTGAACATGACTGAGGGCTTTGTGGCTGGGCTGTGGCACGCTCTGTGCTCCATAGGTCGTGAGCACTTCTCGGGTTGAGACCCTGTCCCTTCCATTTCCAAAGGAACTGCAGCAAATCCATGACCTGAGGAGTTCCACCCATCTTCCCTCTGCACTGTGATTCTTACACCCAAATAACTCTAGCTTGATCGTGAACTAAGTGCAATCCATCCACCTGCTGGTCTACAATTTTTTAAACTACCCACAGTAATTTCAATGTAGACATAATGGTTGCTTAGACACTAATAGTATATGCAACTGAACGTTCTACATTCTACGTCACACATTTTGCCAATTATTAGCAAGTTTTCAGGATTAACCAGTGTAGCAGATGAGTAAAGGAATCTCAAACATAAAAAAAAATTGGAGCTATATTCTCATCTTCAGACAATTTACAAACAAATAAGTACAATAAATATAATCTGAGATTTTTAAAAGATAAGATATTCTGGGCTCTTCTTCTCCAAAATCAGAAATTTTAAAACGAGTGAATATTAGCCTCTACTGATTTTTTTAAATTCAGAGCATTAGAATATTTATAAGCTCCCTCACAGAGCTTATAAATGTGTGCCATAAAGACAAAAGGGCCAGGTGCTCCCCCAGAAAGCTGAAGTCATCTCTCCCTCTGGTTGTGAAGCTCACATTTTAGGCTGCTAGGATTAAGCGATGAAAAGAAGGGAATTGCAGACCAATAGACAAAGGGGACGGGAGGCATAGCATAGAGTTTGGCGTAAAAAGAACTGGGCTGCCCTAGATCCTGAGCAACTCATTTAACTCTTGAGACAGGAGTTCCTCATCTGTGACACAGGAAGAACAAAACAAACCAACAGAAAAAAAAACCAGAGATTTTGCTCAAAGAAAGTAAGCACTTGAAAGAGTTTGATAAACTCATAGTTGTTACGAGTGCCATTACTTTGGTCCTAATGCCAATCCTATTTTTTGTCTCTAAATTCAGTTAGCTTGGCTAATAATGTATTGGACCTGAGCTAAATTTCTAATATTAGTACCCTAGGAGAAATAGTTAGCATGCATTGTGTTTTCAGTATATGTTAGGCATGGTCTTCAAAGCCTTGAATACACACTGCTTAAAATCATAAAACGACCCAATAAAATAGGTTACTATCCACATTTAACAGACAGGCACTGAGGGTAAGCCCCTCACCCAAGACGCATAGCCCAGGCCCTAGTGGAGATGAGCTTTCATTCCAGGCAATCTGCCCCCAGAGCCCAGTTTCCCACCCTTGATAACACGGTGTTCTCAGCCTCATTGCTACGACGGTTTTCTGGCTACCCTGTGCATCCTAAGATGTTTAGCCGCATCTCTGACCTCTGCCCGTTAGTTGTCAGGCGCTTTCTCCCAGTTATGGCCACTGAAAATAACTTTAGACACTGCCACTGTCCCTCAGGAGAGTAAAATCCCTTTCTGCTTTAGAACTACTGTGCCACATTATTCAAAAAAGAACTTCCCTTCCATGTTTAAAAAAAAAAAGTTTCAGCTAGATGAAGTTTGGTGTTTTAGAAAACTCACATTCACTGGGAAAATGTCTGCTATTGTGCCAGGAAAGTGTGGAGGCCACTGGGAGAAGAGGTTTTGACGGTGGGAAGGCTGGGGTCTCTAAAGGAACCCGAAAGTCTGCTGTTTTGTCTGTTTAGCCATGCGAAGGAACCACAGCGGTCTGGTGGTAGTGGGGCGGGGCGGTGAACACGAGTGTCTTGCCTGCTTGCTTGACTGCTTTACTTTTAGATTTCAGATAAGCCAGCTTGTCAATACTTTTCAAGAAAAACCAGCATTTGAATTCTAAACTGATTGTTAAGCAGGGTGGGGTCCCCTTGGTATTTTCCAGCTTGCAGGCAACAGCAAGCAGTCTGGCGGGAACCAGCCGCCAGTGCTGGATGGCAGGTTGAAGGAGAGTGTGTTGGGAGATTTGTAGGTCGACAGTTGCACAGTTCAAAATTTCTAGAATACTCACAAGTTAGAACCAGACCTACCTCTATCTAGCCTTGCAGAGAGTCCCAAATTTGAAACAGAAATGAGAGTACAGAGTGCAAGAGGAAAGCTGGTCGCTTTGTGCTGAGCCTTCAAATTTCAGTGCCAATTCAGTGCATGGGGAGGGAAATCCCTTTGGCGGGGGTGTCACCTGAGAGACAGCAAGAAAAACTCTGTCAGGATCCTTATGCCTATTAAAGTTCAGCTTTAGATGGAGAATTCTGACCACATAAAGTCTGTTTTCAATAAAAGCCAAAGCAGGAATCCTACCAAATGCAACCCAGAAACAGGGTTTAAGATTTCAAAAAGAGAGAGAATGAGAGGGGAAAAAAATGAAGAAAGCTCTTATTGAAATGTCACCTTGTTCTGCTTATTTATATACTCTCTTTCCTTCCGTGATTTGCCTCCATTTTATCTATTAAAAACTAAAAACGCTGAAATGCCATTATCCATCATCTCCAGGAAAACAATCCTTAGCTTTCCAAGACAGAAGTTTGATTTTTTTTTAAAGTTCTTTGCTTTAAAGAAAGAGAAAGGGTCCTTTCTCTTTTTTCTGAAACTAGAAACTCATAATGTGACAAGAAAACACAGAAGTGTCCCCACAACTCCTTCCGGGTTTTAATATTGCCAAGACAATATCTGAACTTTTAGAGGGAAGAGATTCTGCCAATTCATGTGCGGCTCTGGGTAGTTTTCCTCATGACTTTATTAGCAAGCTATGATCTTGACTTTTACAAACACATCTATTTTTACTTTGACCCTATTTAAAGGTAATCAACGACCTTACAACAGTACAGAACCCGTGAGTGTCCTTCTTTTTTTAAGTGTTGTTATTACACTTATGCATCCCAAGGAAAGGGGAGAGAAAGCCGAGAGGTGATGGAGTCATTTTTGGCTCAGCTTCTCCGCTGCTCAAGCTGTTCTGGTGAACATGCGTGGAGCCCGTGGTGAGGGAGCAGGAAACAGTGCAAGCTGTGTGCTGTTTTAATTAATTCCACCTGAGCCAGGAGAGCGTCTCTATCCCACAGAGACCCACTGGTACGGATGCTTCTGTCATAACTAAATAGAGTGGACACAAAACTAGGATTTGTGGAACGATTTTTCCTGCCAGAATATCTGGATTGCTCTCTCATCTCATATTCCCATTCAGCTTTTCTGAAGGGCCAGACTTAACCATTTGAAAATTCACACCAGCCATGTGTTTGTTTAGCAAGATGATACTAAGCAGACTTCACCACCTCTTTAGGGTCCCTGTACTCTTCACTGAAGATTTTCATCTTCATCAGACATTAACTTTAAAGCTGATGGAGCTATTTTCAGTTACAGCTTCTTAAAATTAGTTTATTGGAAATCATAGTTTTTGACATTAACAGAACAAAGTAACTCAATCAGGGTGTGTTTTTCCTGGCAATAGCTGACTCTGGCATTATTTCACTCATTTGTCTTCTCCCTTTTCCTTGGACAGAGCTATTCTGAAATGGTCAAAGGGAATAGAGGGTGGAAGGAAGAGTCTCTGTCCAAGGCAGAACTAACCCCATTTACCTCATCACTCAAAAAAAAAAAAAAAAAAAGTTGAAAAATAAAAGTACTTTCTTCAAATACTCCTTGTTCACCAACTCTGATGTCTTTTAAAAATGGAAAAATTAAATCATTCCAAAGGATTTGGCTTTTGCAGTAGCTCATCCATGTGATGGAAATGGTCTCTGGTGAGCAAATGCCTTGATGAAGTTGATGTGCACGTCTCCTGTGTACCATCAAGACTACGCCAGAGCTTCTCACGTAGGTCCTGGCCCTCACGCACGGCTTCCGTGATTCTACGTGATGCACGTACTAGAAGTCTCATACAATCCCGTGTTTTCAATAATCTATGTCTAACCGGTACCAAAAGGTTTAGAAATGCCTCTACAGAGACAATCAGTGCACGCACATGCTTTTGTTTACCAATAAGAGAAACATTTAGTTATCCTTCTAATTTAGTTTTTAGGTTAAACTAGATGGCCTGCAGTGCTGCGCCTCTTTGTTTGATATGTTGGTGTTCCTGACAGTAGCTGCAAATACCTTTTGTGTGATGTAAGAGCTTGTTTTGTGTTTTCAGTCAAGTTTCCCAAATTCTGAGTGAGTGCAAACTCATGATTCTCACATGTGTCTTTGCATCCCTCCTCGTGTCAAGGTTTGGTGCTGTGAAGGATGAAGCCGCTGAGCCTTGAAGTTGGGGGCTTGAGTGTGCATGGAAATTAAGGAGCCTGTGTGAGTGGGCTGGTCTGAGTCCCCACAGGCCTGTCCTGGACGAGTCCTGATTTGCTCTCTGCTCAATGGTCCCCTAAAAGTGTGACTCTTAGCAGCAAAGTGCCTCACAAACAAAACATGGACTCACCTTGTGATTTGTGATGTCAGCCACAAGGCTTCTGCTTTCCTCACTGTCCACCCACACTAAAGAAAATATCTTTTAAAATTGTAATTAGATATTCTGATATTTCAGTGAACTGCTTTGTAGCAACTAAAAGCCAAGCAAAATTTTTTTTCAGAGTATAACTGCCAAGAAAGAAACGACTTGGGGTTTTCTTTTAATATTTAAGGCATCTTGTGAGGCAACCATGTTACAAAACTTGTTATTGAAAGCCCCAACTGTAATTAATAATTTGTTGCAGGTTTACCATGAGTTGTCATGATGCTTAATATACTTTAATGAAAATAGAATTCTGGGCACA